ACGGAACGATGCAGGCTCCACCTCCCATTAAACCGGCTGCTCCGCGCATTACCCTCATGAACTTTACTCTGACCTTGGCTACAAGGTTAGTAATATCAGCATCTTTCATCAATCTCGGAGCAGAACGTTCTAGCTTCGTTGAAACCTGTTCCAGCAAAGTTCTCATCCTCACCAACATCGTTTACTACTCACATAGAGTGTATACGCTGAGAACTACAAACAAATTCACTGACAAGGGAATGGATTTCTTGTGTGCTAGAATCGGTGTCTTTCAGGAACCACTGAGAGTGCTCATTGCTGCTCAGGTACGTCTTTATTCCAGTTTTTATGATCTTTGATGACGCCGGATCATCCAGTTTCTCTTGTCTTCATGCTGTCTCTGTTCCGACCGATCGCTGCACTGATTCATCTTTCCTATTTGGTTTGTCATGATTGATCCTCATTCCTTCATCTCCATAGCTACCGCTCGCTGGCTCACCTTCCCAAGCAATCATCGTGAGACTAACTCGAGCTCTCGAACAATCCGAAATATGCTTGAAAGCCTTCTTGAACGACCCAAACTCGCAAAAGATATTGGCTACAATTACTACCATCAGTATACCAGACAAGCTCGTATTGATTCATAAAGCACTCGATTTACTCCAGCTGGAATTATTGTCACTGCTCAAGACTGAAGAGGCCAGGATATTAGGTACAAAACCAAGTAGAGAACATAGAAAGAACTTGGAGACTGCAAAGGCTACTCTGGCACTCATGGAACAGAAGAGATGGGAAGCGTTGAAGTTTGTTAGTCAGACTTGCGTACAGGTATGTGTATAGTATGCAAAAAATCTTACAGTCTTATTGAATTGTTGCCAATCCCAACCGACATATGTTTCACTTATTTAGTGTGCAATGCCATTCAAGGAAGCAGAAAACTATGATGGAGCTTGTCGCTTCCACCCTGTTCAGACCTTCGAGTATACATCAACCGATGATTTGAAATTGAAGTGCTGTGGAACTGAGGTGACTGGTGTTGAGGATGCATTTGTGCTAGCTGGATGTTTCGCTGGTCGACATCGAGATATGCATCATCAGGACTATCCATACATCAATTATCTGTGAGTGTTGGGTTTAAACAGATGGATACTGGTGGTTTTTTTGTGTTTAGCTGGATGTTTGTAGTCCTTCGTTTTCTAGCAGACACAGAAGTCTAACATACAATCCATTTTCAATGAACAGTGCTAGGTTTGATCGAGATTTGCAGTAAGCGCTAAAGAAACGAGCAACATGATACTTGCACATACGCCAAGTCGTCTCACACCACTTACTAGAAACCCTGATATATGGATCCAAGTAGACCAAACACCAACAGTCGGTCTCAATCTTCAAAACAAGCAACGTCAAGGCTTCTTTGGTCGACTAGGCTCTGACGAAACAACAACATCCTCAAGCAACAACAACACACAACCCTACTTTTTCGCCGTAATACAAGGACGCCAAACAGTTGCATCATATCGATTCGATGAAATGGATTTATGCACTCCAACATCGTTATTGACCGGTGCTATAATATGTATGGTGACGAATGATACTACTCCCTTGATTGATCGAAGCAAACGGTGGAGTGTGTCGCTTGAGTTGGTTGTTGCTGAACGGAAGGTGGCTGGTGTGAGATTGTCAGCTATTGCGCCAGAGATGAGTAGGCCCAATCAAGTGGTAAGAATTGGCGAGAGATCAGGTTGGGGCTCAAAGTAGCGATATGGATAGAGCCCGAGTTTTTATGCCTCCTGATTTTCCGTCTTGGTTTAATACCTCCTGATTTTTCTCTCTCCTAAAATCTCAAGGAACTCATGTTTCAACCAAATCTCCTTGAACCTGGTCCTCAACGAGCAATTTATCATGTTGATTTGGATGGTGCATCTCTAGCACCTGCTTTGACATATCTACCGCCCATCATGACATCAGACTTTGAGTCGTTCCCCAAAAGCTACTTCGAAGGTAAGAAGCTTCTATCTACACAGGCGAAAACTCGCAAATCGATTCCCTTATCCATTGCTCAAACTAGTGAACAAGCAAATACCACCCATGAAGGATGAAGGAACTCTGAAACTCAAACTCAAGAGTGTTTCTCATACCAAGTTTGAAGGACGCGGAATGTCGTATAGGAATCCGTAAGTGATTTAACTGCTTGCTGAAACTTTCAAATTGGATATGGTATTGATGTGTTTTTTCTTCTCTCGTGATAGACTCGATATGTATACCGCCGAGTTCTTGATGGTGCATGTCGGAGACCCAGATGCTAAACCTGAAGATGATTTGGTATGCCAACTCTTCCATACTGGGGGGTTTCGTTGTTGCTGGTAGTGGCTGGCCAAACTAAACTTTATATTCTTAGAATCCACAACGAGCTGTATTATTGGATATGGTTGCCAAGAAGAAAGTCACTGTAGATGAAGCAACTCGATTGATGGCCAAATTGTCAACGAATCTCAAGACAAATCTAGATGAGCCTTATCTTCTGACACAGGTGAGAAATTCTTCCAGTCTGGCAAGCTTCTTTTTCTTCTTCTGACCATTTCATCGTTTCTTTCAGCTGTCGGCAGATTACTCACTAGACTTTGGCAAAACATGGAAGCACGCACCGCTGGCCGAAGCGACTCTCCAGAGCTCTCAGAAGACAGACGCAACATATGAAAAGCCTTTAGCATTCTCAGTAGCAGAGATATCACCACGCGAAACCTTCAAACTCAAACTACAAGTAGGCATACCAGCATCTCCACTCAGTCGATTTGGTCGTGAAAGTATAACACCGTCGACCTGTATGCTCTTCAAACTGATTGTTACAGAAGCCATGGGTCAATATACCTCTACCATGTTTGCATATACAGCACCACCACTACCAACTCTCCCAAGTAAAACTCTGACTGATTTATTCTTCCTTCACGTTGACGATATATGTACGTTTACTCGCCACTCGGTGACCATCGTCCGAGCACCATCAATACCACCACCGACAGATCCAACTTCAACATACAACACACGCCGTAACTTATTCCGAATCGTATATAAAACAAACAAGAACGTCTCATTCGACAACGTAATAACCGTATCCCAAATCCGGTACTGGATTGCCACAGCACACGCCGAATGGAAGCTGAAAACTGCACATCTCCCACCCGTCGACGAAGACGTGCCCCCACCACGCGAATCATCACTGCCAGCAAACCGACACGATTACGCATGGAAGATTGATTATTTGAATACATCGTCATTGTGTAGTGTATGGGGACTGTTTGATTTTAGAGATGAGGCTAGGAGTAACAATGGGGTTAGTGGTGTTATGTGGGGCATTAGAGTACGATTGGAAGTCGAACATACGAATCAGTATGAAGAGGATGGGATTGTGAGGAGTGAGCAGATGAAGACACAATGGGCGGAAGGCGTTTGGATTATTCCGAGGGTGCTGTATTCGGGACAGACGCTTGTGGGTGCGGGGAGTAGTGTGTCGTTAGCTGCTGGGGGGAAGAGCTGAGAAAGGGGGAGACGATAATGATGCGGTGAGCGTAAATAATGTCTTTTTTTTCATGCATTGCAACTTGCATAGATTAGCGTAAATAATATATCAGATAGCTTTTTAGATAAATTCATAACGAAATTGACGCGTTTGAACCAACATCTGTTGCATGTAGTTTTGAATTTCGCTAAGTTTACGCAGAAGACTGGAAGCTTCACAGAGTCACCGAATCTTGCAGTGGAGAAAGGTATGCTCATTTATATGACAAATCATTCTTTGAATGGTTTCATAACATGCTCCAACTTTTATGTTCAAACGACTACAAAATTGACGTACAATTATCTGACTTCTGCATTACACCTTAAATAGTTGAGGCTTAGAGGCAAGTATGAGGACTCTACATCTGAGCTGAGGCTAAATGGATCTATCATCGAACTGTTGTTGTTGGACCGTTTGGTTGAAACATTCGACACATTAAACTCACCATTTCGTAGTTTTGCAAAAACGAGATCTTAAATGTGGCTTCAAACTGAAATTTCACCATCTGTGCGGTTATGTTTCAGTCAAAGATTAAGGGCAATGCGAGTACTGGATTTCAATGTATATCAGGACGTTTCTGACTGTTCTTCCTTGATTTAAAGCACTGTGTGGGATGAATAACGGCCTTTTGAGTGTTAAGGCCAGTATTCCTTTTTGTTTGCAGCCAGTGAACAACATTATGAGGAATTCCGTTGCCAATGCGAAGTTATCCAGATCCTTCAATGTGGGTTTCAGATTGCTCTCTTGGCTTGACGATTTTTTTGGCCTGATTTTTCGATAGAGCAACATTCAAGAGAATCCCTATTGTGTTTGAAATGTACTGTATTTGTCATTTTCAATGGTGTACACTATTGGAGAATACAATACACATTATCTACCACGAAAGATTGGATTTTGGATTTCGTGGTTTCAGCATCAACCAATAGCATAACGCAAAAAAAGTACTTTCAATCACTTGACCTCCGAAGAAAAATAAGAAGTCCTGAAAATTGCCTGCTGAATGGCCTGCTATGTGAAGGGGACATGGCAGGTCGATCACCTACACAGCTACCAAGTCATTAGGCACTGCCACAGTCTGGCATGCCTGCAATCCTCAAGGTTGCAAAACATATACAAGCAACTTCAACTGCGGCGCCTTCAATCTGGTTGAAATGATAACCAGCCCCCTAAGCCGTAAGTTCTCCAAATCCTCAAAGTCTCTGGTTTATCGGCTGCCGATGCTAGGATGGCATGGCAGGCAGACACAATCACATGTAAAGAGCCTACAAGCCTACCAAGAATCCTGACAAATTAAAAAACACCACACAACAGGGGTGGGAGTGCTTCGAAACCTTGTTTTCCAATTAAAATTTGCCCATCTTTCGTTTTTCTTTGGCTGATGTTATCCAGCTAAATAATATGCATCAAAATTTTGTGACTTGAAACCTCATTTTATTTTACAGCATGGACAAAATAATAAAAGAATTTAAGCAAAATTCAATACATCCTCCTCCGATGGTCCAACTACAGGCTCTGAAGCAGCGAGATTACACTACAAAGTTGAATTCGAGTTAGTCAATTTACACAAACGGTAATCCATCTTGCTTTTTTTTACCTGATGCATAGCTCGCACATCATCAGGCTTGAGTGCTCCAACAACACTATGTAAAACACCACGGTTGTTGAATACCACAAAATCGTTCTCCTTCCTATATGTGCATGATGAAATTGTCAGGGGCAAGAATCTTTCAACAAAAAAAGGCAGATGTCCATACCATTCATGGCAATACAACAACTCTGGTGCAATACCAGGTCTTTGCATCTCATACACCAAATCACGCGCTTCCTGCAAGTCGTCAATGAAGGCACCATCAGGGTACCTTGCACTTTCACGGTATTCGGCTGTATCATCGTCTGGTAATGGAGCGATTATGATTGCCATGATGGCTGAGGGGTGGACTTGTAGGTGGAGGCGTCCCGTGACTGGGTTCTTCCAACACTAGAAAAGCATTTGTCAAAATACATCAAGATGTCCAGAGCGAAAAAAGAAACCAGTAAAGCACTTATAATTTACCATAGGCAAAATCTTTATCTGATCAGCTTGCCATTCCGGTAGTTCATCCAGAGGCAGCTCTTTATCTTCAGACAAGAGTCCCAATCCGACACTGTTGGATTTACAGTTTGACATCCACACGTATGGATGTGGAGCGTATTGGATTTGGGCACGGACGGCGACTGATTTCAGCTCCTTTGGAAGAATGTCGAACATTGTTGCGCCTGATGAGACTAGAAGCAATGGAAATTTGCATATTGAGCCTATAAATTCAAATGACCGAAAACGAGCACATGGAATAGAAAAATTGCTTACATGCAGTGGTTCCGAAAGGAACTTTAAGCTCATCACCAGTACCATCGTCGTAGCGACATACTTGTGGTGCTCGGTGTGGTACAGTGCTGGCGAATAGTGTTGTGACTTTTGGTCTAAGTTTGAATAGTGGAGAGTATTGTCAGAGTCTTGAATATCATATGCGAACATAGGACTTCAGAAACCTCAAGCTACTTACGGATCCAGATTATACAACGCAGCATCAATGTGCCTATCCAATCCAAAAAAACCCGTCACAAACGGCGTCAAATTGGTTTCAACGACAATCCTCAACTTACCATCGATAAAATCTCGTAACACCCTTCTTTTCATCATCCTCAGACACAGACGTTCCATGAAAGCTCTGATGACTAGGATGTTTCAGCTTGGCTTCAGCTAAACCCTCATGGTTGTACAAGGTGCCGTTTCCAATAAGTTGCACTTGAGGCACACGTGGGATGGTCTTGAGGTCTGGATGTAGGATGGATTTTTGGGTGGATTGGACTCTTGCGTTTCCGTGGCCATATTGTTCAGATACAGGGTCAAACATCTGGGAATGAATGAGGAGGTTGTGTGTTAAGATAGGGTAACATATGCCACGTAAAAGCCTCTTTTTTTTGTTGCCGCATGGGCAAAGTGAGAATGTACCTTGGTGAATTCATATTGGTCTTCTGGAGCGACCTTGACGTTGGAGAAGACGAGAACCGAGTGCTAAACAAAAACAATAAAGTGTGGTCAACATTCGCTTTGCGGCACTTCAGCAAATTCACTCAACGGCCGAGAAATACCTTATACAGCAACTCCACAACCATTTTCTTCTCACCAGAAGTCATGTTTCCGGGATCGACATTCTTGATTTCACTATCGTGTAGTTCATTTTAGCAATCTGACAATACACAGAAAAATGGGTAGATCATATGCAATGGCTCACAGTCCGAAATCCTTGAAATACGCCGGATTACATGAGGATGGTAACGAGAGTGGAGCAAAGTCGACGTTGGGCTTGTACAAGTTGGTTGACTAGATAAGACCCAATGTATATTGTTAATCCCAGCATGCGAAGTTCATGCATTTTCAAAAGTGGGGTTACCTTGTGATCGAAGGATACGTGACGACGAGACACCTTCTTATCGGCTGATGGTCGATGATGAGGAACTTTCTGATCGGTTGAGTCTCGATGATGTGGCAGGCGGTGAAGTAATGCAGACTTGAATCGTCCATCGGTACTAGGAAGCAATGAAAGATGCAAAATGAGATCCCGATAAGATCAAAACTCGTGATAGATTCAAACTTACGTTGTGGAATTCATAGTAGTTGTCATGTTGTAAATGTGCGTCTAGTTGGTAACCGTAGTGTTGCTTGCAAGTAGTAGTTATGTTGTTGGTTGTTGTTGAGGAACGAAGGGTGGCATCGAGAGATAAACCAAAACCACGGCACGAGATAAGTTTTTGGTTTCGCATTCCTCCCCTATACTCCCACCGTGTTTCCGTCCGCCAGATTACCGTGATGGCAGAGTAACACCGAGAAATAGTACACATGTGAGGAGAGCTTCTGATCGATAGAGAGCGCATATGCTTCGATAATCCCCATATGGCTGTCAAATAGAGCATGACCTCTCTTGATCACGGCGGCCTCCTTATATCCGACAACCGAGAACACTTAGTTTGCTGTTTGATGACGCAAAGTTACAGGCTCGTTTCTTGTAGAGCAGGAGAGGAGCAACCAGATAAGGTTCAGATAACGTTCTTGCATGCATTCTTAACGTGGTGGTTCAGTTAAGACGCGTCCTTGCATCTCGTATCCGATTGAAAGCTTCAGTATCGAATGACGAGCAGTTTCCTTTTCAAACCATCGTCGAAAAGCTACGACGTGTGATTCATCACGTACTGATATGCATATCTGCACTCTGATTACTAGTTGCCAAGTATCCTTCACCTTCTCAGCTCTTTGAATCGGAAATCACCAAGATGACGGAAACAATGATGCATCTCGAATTGTGAAATGCGATAATGAAGTTCAAAGTAGCAGATCAGCTACTGTGCGCATTCAAGATGATTTTACTGGTGATCCGCTTGCAAGATCACGGCTCGTGGTGTGAAGAACTACTCCAATGCTCCATTTCCGAGAAGTACTCGTTTTCTCTCTGCTTTCTTCTTGATACTGCTCGCACCAACTATATTCATGAACGCCGAAACGCACAGTGCTATTTCTCAGACACTGATCGCCGCTATATTCGCCACAGTCTCAACGACTATAACCTTGGCAGCATGGAAGAAATGAAACACAAGCTAGTCTGTACTCAGAAAGGACATGAACTTGCTTCTTCTTTCAAAAGCCACTTTCTCACATCTTTGCTGCGTTGATCGAAACGCTTCCGTTCGGCCAGCCCCCATGAAAACATTCATCGTATATGGTCGCCTTGTTGGACGTGGAGTCCTTTCATCTAGAAGATCTACGGATTGAAGAGCTTTCCACGTCTGTAACAGAACACCAATACACATACCACTTCGATTGCGGCTCCATTCAACGACTCATGCCATCAAACACAAGTGCTCAACCCATGCACGAATGTGAGATGGCCTAGAGCAATTCAAACCAACACAGTTATTATGCTCAGGCTTGGTTCCCACCTTCGACATTGTCATCACACGTCAAACCCCGTCTTCAGATCAAGATGCCGAGAAAGAACATCTATCAAATCAGATCAGCATAGTATAATGGTTAGTACTTCTCGTTGTGGTTTGACAGGCCCGAGAGAATTCTGGTTCAATTCCAGATGCTGACATGGATTACAATATTGGGAACTTTTTCTTTTCTCGTGGCCGTTTATCATGCTTGGCAAGCTGAAATGGTTTTGGTTTCAGGTTTGAAATTTGATTTGGTTCCAGGTTAGCAATCAATGCTTGTGTTGACCACGGTAGCTTCAAGTCGACCAACACAGCCAATGTGCTATAGTCAATATCTGTGCCGTAGTGCACATACGCCTTTCTCCCGTTATAATATCCATTAATGTATAGCAGCTTAAACCGTAAATATCTTCCACATGAACCAGCCTGAGTTTGAAACATACGTGTAGATCTTCACATAATGACATTGATCTCTTCTGAGCTGCAGCGCCTGTTACTTAAGCTCCTTTGCCTGAAACTGTCCTTTTGGTCTTTAAATGAGGAGGTTGACTGGTTTGTATGGTCGCGAATTCAAATGGGATTGCAATCAACTTGATAGCGAGAAGAAATTCAATTTTCTGACCATTGAAGAAAAGCGTAACCTAGTTATGCCTTGCATTTGATCATCTCAAGTGCCAAAACATGTTCATATAGCCAATTACTGACTTCTGACAAAATGTTTGTCTTGTGTTGACAATGACAAGCCTTATGATGCTTGACCAACATTGTCGACATTTAGGATTGAGCAATGAAAGCGAGTTGCGAGCTTTTTTCAGTATCTTCACGTGGTAAATAAGTCCGGATAAGTTCGTGACAGCATGCAAGTTTGGGTGACAGAACACCGACGCAATGCGAGGTATCAGGATGAATGCAGCTCCAACGTGAGTTGCAGTACTCACAAGTCATGTTCAGCTATTATTTTGAGATGATTGGATGCTATGTTTACACAAGACGTACTGGGTCCCCGTGCCATTTCTGCATCGCCGTTGTAAGATCGAACAACTGTAATGCAACAAAACCAACCCCAAACTGTTTGGTGAATGAGCTTGTATTAAGCAATTGTATTACGAAGGAAGCGAAAATCTATGTAGTACGATTTGATGCTGTAGACTGCAACAGCGAAATTTGTTAGAGGCTGCGAGTACTGGGTCACAAATTGAAAGTTGCGTGAAGAGAATACCAATCTGGCCATTGAAGAGGGAGCAACTCGAGCAATGTTTACCTACGTAATCGGGACATTATCCGATAGGAGCTTCTCAATGTTTGTTTCGCAATGTTGCCCTATGGTTTAGGGGGAGTTTTTTTTTGGTAGCCGCAGTAAGTCCAGTTGTAGATCAATGGATCGCAGTAGCCGCAAGCATCCAAGCAGCCAAGAAAATAGCATATACCCAATAGGAAGTGTTTACAGGTCGAAGTACTTAAGTCAAACTTGGTTGCAGTTGACACTCGCTTTATTACAGCTGTCAACAATTTTGATCGTTCCCAGCTGTCTTGATTGTTGTTTACCTGCCAAGAGAGGGAATACCGGCTTGTTTACGACAATTTATGGTTGGGCCTAGTACCAAACCGCGAGAATCGTTACGAGGAAAGAAAGATTGCCAATATAGTTGTCCGACACTGCAAACACAATTCCCGTGATATTTCTTTCTTGCGACATCCATTACATTCCTCATCCACTACTACCACGACGGGGGCAGCAACCAACTACCGAGATCAGAAATACGTAATAATTCCAACAAATCCATATATCGATACGAGAACATTGTCTTCCAAACCATAACATCACAACCCCATTTGTTTATCTTTTGGATCTCGCACTGTGACACCACGAACGAAAAACAAGGGAGCGAATATACTCAATAATCAACTAGTCGCATCTCTCTGCACGATTATAATCTAAACCGAATCCCACGTGACTCACCCTCTCGATTCCCTGTTGCTTGCAAACGCTACAACTTTTCGAGGGACTTCACCTTCGAATATTCTCGTTGGCTGTGTCAAACCTCATATTATAATCAGAGCGAGTGAAGTGCTACTCATATCAGCATGGTGAGTTACCTACCATATCGCTATTATCTCTTTCTCTCTGTGTCTGCCAAGACAAGCATTGGAAAATTTGAGAGCGGGTTTGTTGATCATTGGTTGATGGTGGTGCAAGCAACACCAACAACAGAAGATCAGAAAGAGATCATGGCTCGTTTATTACCCTTGCTTTTATATGCTTATATGCTTAGGCATTAACCTCCCCTTTCTTATCTAGTCGGCTGAAGCTGAGAGCAAAGTGAGTTTCTGACCTGGTTGGGTCTAGAGCGTCTGAATCCTTGTTTGTTTGGGGTGGTTGGAATCATATATCATTGATCTCGTATGAGATATAGTCGCTACGAGATATTTACTCTTGATCGTTCCTGATCCCGTTATCATTTCCTTGATATCCCTGTGTCTCACAAAACCTTGTTTGTTGACATTTTAGCTGGGCGAAGTGATTAATGGCAAGATCTGTCTTAATGAAATCATTGGTACTGGCTCATTCTCCGTCGTCTATGGTGGTCAAGATTCGTTTGGAAACCAAGTAAGTTTTGACTTTTTGGTGTCGAGGCTGTGATGCCAACAAAAAAAAAAACACAACGATTTATACTCCGTATGTCTTTCACAACCAATCTACTTCAACCTAACCATCATTGACCCCATCTCATCAACAGTACGCCGTAAAAACGATGTGGAAGTCCAATCTCACCAACTCACAACTATCCTCCCAAAGGCGAGAAAGCATCTTCATGAAGGCCCTCCAACATGAAAATATTGCTAGGCTCTACGACGTATACGAAGACCACCATCACCTATATCTCATCATTGAACGGGCTCAGATCGACCTCTATGAAGCAATCACTAGTCGTGGCGGATTCTCGGTCGACGTCTCAAAGAATGTGTTTGATCAACTGTGCAATGGGCTACTACACTGCCACGATAACGGGATATATCACCGCGATATCAAGCCGGAGAATGTGCTTATATCGGGAACTGATTGCATGGTATGCAAATGCTCGATCACGTGCCGTTTTGTTTTTGCTTTGGGTTTATCAAAGATGTGGTGATTTGCAATCATTCCACTTACTTTCATCTTTCAAAAGGTCAAGCTCACTGATTTTGGCCTTGCTACTCGTGAAACCTGGAGCACTGAACTTGGTTGTGGTAGTGTTAGGTATATGGCTCCAGAATGTTTGGGTGTTAATGGATCCAAGGGATATAGTACTGCTGCGAATGATGTCTGGTCCATGGGAGTAAGTTTAGTTTTGTGCTATTGTTATTCAGTACTGTTTTGAAAGCACATCGTGTCAGTCCAAAAAAGACGACTAAGCTCTCCGTCGATGTACACCTTGGTCCAATCAACTCACAAAGAAATACCTTTCCTAACTACAGGTGATTCTTATCAACTTGTTGTTTGGTAAAAACCCATGGCATGAAGCTAGTGCAGCAGACCAAATCTTTGGCCTCTATATTGGCCGCCATCCAGACGTACTCCGTGATCAATTCGGCCTCAGTCGAGAATTTGATGCTTTACTGCACCGAGTTTTCACTCTAGACATCCGAAAACGTATCTCGCTACGAGAACTACGACGAGCTGTGGCAGAACTAAACTGCTTCACATCTGAAGAAGCCGATGGTGACTATCCCTTGATTTTCGAAGGAGACGATATATCTGGTCGAGCACTGTCATTATCCACTAATGGGAGCTCATCACATGGAGAAGACGATGAAGTCGATATTGATGTACTTGATGATATACGTATAGCTCATCATGGATACATACCGCCTAATGTAACACCCTCGTCATCGTCGCCTGCACAATCGTATGCATCGCTACCGACATTTATTGGAAACACGATATATACCACTACTACCAATAACAATAATAACCATAATACCTTCAAGCAACGATACACCGAAGAACTCAAGATGTACAATATCGATACCCCAACCTCGGAAGATTGTGACGTTGATGATATGTGTGATGAAGGAATAGGAGGAACGTCATGGGCTGAAGATTTCGGTGAAATGGATTTCAGTACTCCGCCGTTTATTCCCGATGTGCCATCGTCGTCGTCCGATAATAGTAATAGTAACAATCAAGACGATGAGGATGAAGATCTGGATGAGGACGATAATGGAGGAGAAGGCTACGATTACAATGATGGAGGAATGGTGAATGAGAGTGAAGAGCAACGCCGATTAAGGCTAACGGCGTTGGCCAAACATTTCACGGCACGAGGTGTCGATGGAAGTACAGCTCGGGAACGTAAAGTGTCAATACCATTTAGTATTGCTACACATGATTCTGGATTTGAGGATATGACTGTGGATGATACGGTTGAAGGTGAGCATTACTATCTTGTCAAACGCGTTGTTTTTTCGTGGTGTGGTTAGAAATTTTGGTACATGTCGGGAGAAAAAAACCGCTATAATCTTAAGCCGTTGATCTAACAACCCGTACTTCGTTTCTGTGTAGACTCTGCATACGATCCAAACGAAGACCAAGATATGGTATCAGGAGTCAAACCATCAACGTCATTCCCAAACAAGTTTATATCAGGTTTCTTGGAAGCACTCGGTTCACTAGGCCTAGTTTCGAGAACTAGCAGCCTCCAATCATGATTCATAAAATTATACATATAACACCCAACAACAATACCCACCACACACGACATGTTACAAATCCAACAACCACACCATATTCGCAATCAAATCAAATCAACTAGTCTTGATAAAAAACTGTCAACAAAAACACCACAACCTAGTAATTATTAAAACCCATGGGAGATGTATAAAACAAGAGCTAGTCTTCTCTCTCTCTCGACTGTAAACATTTTCAAAGGAAGGAAATCAGGGGCAAGGAGGAATTTGTTATATTGGAATTTGCTGTCTTTTCTTTCATTTGGATTTGCCCCAAAAAAAAACACAAAATCTCTAAATAAATACTTGTAAGGATGGAACGGAATGTCTGCTTTGTTTCTCCTTTGCCTGTATAGTCTTTGTAGTATTTGAAAATATGAAAATGTTTTGAAGAATGTACTCTTGATGTGTGGTGAGCGTTGGACGCCGTTTGCCTCTTCTGCGATCTGCTCGTTCTTTGCCAGATGCTTGCTCTTTGGAGGATGGTTTATGCCTTGTAAATCATACTGTTACAAGGAAGAACACGGATCGCGTCGTCTGACTAGATCCAACATTAACTCCAACGATTCCTTCTCTTTCTCACCACCACCATCATTTTCAATAATCTCACCAGCACGTGGCCACACACCCTCTCTCTCTCTCCTCTTCACACGCTCACCAAATCATCTTTCTTCCATCATCAACCCTCTTTTCTCTACTATTCTTCATACAAGCATCAGCATTTTGTGGCACACACACAGCATCTCGTTGCAAAATTGACCAAATGCGATTCTTGTTGTTTACGAACGTCCAGCTTCATTTCGTAAAAAACCATGACAAGAAACTATCCATTTTGACTGTCGAGTGTCTGTAGCTGAAGGGCGGAGAGGTCGATCTTGTGTGGATGATGGACTGCTGTGAAAACGAGATTGCGTAAGACGGGAAGAAGCAAATACGATACTGCCTGGATAATGTTTACTGCACATTTGCCTTGAGCCTCTATCAGTGTTTGGTCATCATGTTCCTGGCAAAGCTAGTTTCTGTATCGACTGGAGATCCAGAATCCAGCACGCCTATACTCTTTACAAAACCTATGAAGCGAGGAGGAGGATTGGAGTCAGCCAGTTGGAAGCACAAAAAAGCAGAAGTGAAAGGTCATGAACGCACATGCGAGAAGTCTTTTCTGTCTATGGGATCGTTTGGAAAAACATTCAATTTGACTAGTGAAGGAGATACGCTATGAAGAGGATAAAAGTGGTCGGAGAGGCTGAGTATTTGGAGGTTAGGGCATTCAGATAGTAGGCTACTCTCGTAAAGATATCGACTTTTCTTTAAATGTACTGAGCATCCGATCAAGTTTCATTTTTTGTCTAATTTAAGTAGATGTTGATAATATATGGGATTTTGAGACCTTGACGCTTTGAGCATCCACTGGAAAAGATTCCAGCAATCTTGGAGGAGCGTAAGACACCTCCTTGTATAACTGTCTGACTGCAGCTTCTTTCCAGTCTTTGGATACAAGAGCTGCTGAATGCAGAGTCTCTTTGTCATCCGAGTAGTCGAATATTGCGTCCAGGACGAGCGATGGTAATGCAGGCATGGTTGAGCGATTATGTTGGATTCGAGTACTATAGGATTCATCAGGCGTATCGATGACTCGGACGTATTATATCTATTTGGTGTTATCGTGGTCAGCAGTGTTTGAAAGCTAAGGTGATGTTTCATATTCTGATGTCTGGTTGCAAGTAAATGGACGCATCAAATGAAATGATGTCTGGTTGCAAGTAAATGGACGTATAAAATGAAATGCAAATCAAATGCCATTGGGAACTAGAAGATAAATCTTCCAATTCAGTAACTTGGCATCTCCTCCAGCTTCCACATAGCACCCAAATTAAATGACAAGCCTTCCATGTTTCCCGCACATACCTCAACAAAAATGCAAAGCTCCAGTGATTTGCAGGGATTTACACTTGGGAGCGCCTGTTTTTACACAGCTGTCCCTCCGCTTACAACTTGAAAGTCTTTACCAGCTTCTCGACTCACTTCGATATTTTGATGTTTGGATCCAAGCTGGTGAAGTATCGTGAACATTACAACTACGCGTAATTTCGTACCTTCTACCGCTCGATACTCGATATCCCATATCTCAATAGATTCTTATAGTCCTGTTTGGTACCTGTTTGTTGCGAGTCATTGAATCTTATAGTGTTCATGTGGATCAAGTAATTCGCAAGGGATCACTAGAAGCCTAGAAGCATTTTCAGCTTCCTACTTCTGCACCTTAATGTTCCATGCGATGTATTATAAGTTAAGGCAATGCTATATAAAAACCTGATGCAATGCAAACCTTCAGTCAAACTTGGATCTGATCTTCTTGACCAGATCCAACAAATCCTCTCCCTCCTCCAACAGTTCCTGTTCTTCCCCACCACCATAATCCCTACGATCAACCATCTCACCACCACCTTGCCGCATCCTCTCTCTCCTCTTCGCACGTTCGCCAATCATCTTTCTCCTGTCATCCACCCTCGTTTCTCTACTATTCTTCATAGCAGCAGCAACCTTTTGGGCTATTTCAGTATTCACTCGTAATTGTCGTAACTCGTCTTGTTGTTTACGACGTTCGGTTTCGTCTTGTGAAAAAGCGTAGAACCCGACTCCCATTTGACGGTTTTCGCGCTTGTAGTTGAAGAAGGGGAGTTGTTCTTGTGTGTTTGATGATGATGCTGTGTGGGACAGTGAGGGTGTGAGGTGAGATATGGAGAACCAAAAAAGTCGAGGATAAAGTCTCTATATCCAAATCCTGCTTTGGCTTACAACTTTTGCAAATTTCAGTACAATCTTTCGTACATAACTTTACCTTGAGCATCCTCCCGATGTTCAGATTCCCATTCTAGACGTTCTTGTTCCCTCAACATGTCTTGAGAGACTAGTTCTGGACCAACTGTATATCCAGAATCGACGACACCTGTGCCCTTGACAAACCTGTGAGTTGAAAGACGGATCGCGTCAGCCAGTTGGAAGTCCGTCAGTTTGAAGCAAAAAAGGCCAACATCATGCGATGCATGCACAATGTACATTTTACTGCGTACGTACTTGAGCCCCATAGAAGGTAGCTGAGATTTGCGAACAAGTCGTTTTCTTTGGAATTCGTCGATGAATTCTACCCAATCAGAGTTCTATGTGATATGTTGACAAGGAAAAGTGAGTATTGATGCGACAATGCTGTGAGTTGGACCAAGATGAGGTTTTGTTGCCTGCGACAAAGGAGTGGACACTCCAAAGTTTTTGCATACCTCTAGAGATGCCAAGGCAGAATCACGTTGTGATGCTTCCTTAGACTAAGATAAAGAATGTAAGATTAGGTTGAGGAGCCCATTGCCAACCGGACCAACAGAAAAAAGCGATTACAACTTCTTCGAAGCGACCTGCTTTTCAAACCCATTACAGCAGCAACTGTACATATAGTTCTTACCTCCTCATCATGCTTCTTTTGCAAATAATCCACTAACTCTTCATCAGGTATATTCCTTCCCTCCTCATCCACATCATCACCATCACCCAATCGTTTCTTGAGATCATACAGTTCAGCTTTTCGTTTCAATTCCAAAAAGACTCGTTCATCGGCGATTTCAGGACGGTCGTAGATGTCTGGTTTGTTTTCAGGTGCAGCGTCTTTTGCAGCACGGGCTTCTACACCCTTGTTTTGGAGTTTTGGTTTCTAGAATATATGTGGAAATGGTCGAGGTCAGCGTTTCAATAGGTACAAACGAAAGGATGGCACTTAAGGATGCATCAAACGCGTTGAACGAGATGAACCTAGCTTATACCTTGAATGTCTTGGTTGAAGTGATCTGTAATGGATCACCAGAAGCCTTCCTCTTTTCAGCTTCCTCCTTTTTACGAGCAACTTCGGCCTTCAACCCCAATATCTGATGTTGCAAATGTTTAATGTCAGCGTGAATTCAAATGCAAGACAAACAATCAAGACAAGAAGGGATGTAATATTCTTACACTGGCGCCAATGACTGGGTTGGCCTTCTTCTTGTCCTGGTCTCTCTCCATCCTTTGAAGCTCAAAGTCCAAATTGCTCCAAAATCAAACAACTATGTGAAGAAGCAAGCGACGAGATCTGTGTAGATCAAAGCTCGCAATGACCCTATTTGCCCTGCCACCTTATTATGGCCTGCTACCCTTCAAGCGCAGTTTCCCCCTGGAGCTACCTGAATTGTCAATCACAGACGCACGAAAAATTACGAGAAGTTAAACTACTTTAAAGACTTTGATTTACCAACGTCGTGACTTTGCAAAGCACGATTCAATTATCATAGTCTTCATTCCAAATTATGGCCTTTTCAAAGGGCGATGATATGGCTTGGAGTCCTGCTGCTTCTGAACGCGATGAGCATGAACTATTGGAACATGAACAGGAGGAGGACATAGACGTGATGCATCGCATCAAGGCCACCTTGAGTCAACGCCCAATTACTGCTGATGCCTCTGTACCTACTCGTGGTAGACCTCTGACTGCACTTACTGACGACGATACCATAACACGCAAGATACCTAAACGACCTGAAAGTGCACCGCCAACTTTGAGCGCTGATCATCATGCTTTTGGACTCAAGTACGTCTTGTCTTCATTTTAGTCTATATAGTCAGTGGTTGTAATCTGGAGCTTAACCTTGGTACTTCTTATAGGGTCGCAAAACCATTACAACGAATGTCTGAACGTACTTACGACGTCGCTCTTGCTTTGTCAGCGTTGCCGTGGACCGTAGAGTCATACCAACCACTGCTGGATGCGTATTTGCAAGGATACTTTTCAAATCCAGCTATGAGGAAGCATCTTGTTAGGCTAGGATTGGTACGTTCAGCTGCCAAAGCAAGAACTTTTGCAGACCGTCGCTCGACATGAATTGAATTGTTTGGTGTGCTTTTGCGTATAGATTACAGAAGATGGGTTTGTCATTGATGAACGACACTGGAGAGCCCAGCAAGCCAAACTGAATCGAATGGAATATGAAGCAAAACAGGCTATAATTGACCAGGATCGTATTGATGATCGTCGTGTTGAGGTAAAAAAGTCACTTACGTGTCGTCGATGCATAATACATTTTACTCACGTTTTCTTTGAATATGAACTGTAAAGCTCGAGTTAAGAGCTGCTATGGAAAGGGAGTTACGGCAGGGATCTAGAAAGTCCAAAAGACTTGCTGCAATGGTAAACATCGACGAGGCGACGCTAATTTTCCCCTCAGAAAGCCCCTCTCAACACCATTTCTCTTCTCCTTCTTAGACGCCCGATGACGCCCATCACTTAGTTCGAGATGCAGCCAAGATATACGGCACAGCCACAAAACCAACGAAATCACCATACGCATCCCGCCCAACAACCTCCCAGAGCAACAAACGACCTATTTCAGCTCGTCCAACTTTAGCAAGACATAAACCAGCAGTCATCATCGACCGCAAAGTCCTGATTACAAATGCTCGTACCTCATATGATAACGGTGATGAAGGCGGAGCTCGTCGAACTTTAATCCGTTATGTAAACCAAGAAGGAAAAGCAAACGGACGAGGACGAGTATTGAATAATACAGGACGATACGGATTACCTTTGGCCGTAGAAGACAGGATGAATGCCGTTGCTCCATACCGCCGATGGTTTGCTTCCGAGATATTCATGTTGCAAAGTGTTTGGAGGATGGGAGGTGATGTTGACGTCTTGATGGGTATACTAAGTACCTTCCCTGCTCCAGTCAGAATGAGCATTGATGTCACCCGCAAATCACCTGTACACACAACCAAGTCAAGTGCTGCATCATCACCATCGAGTGCTCAACCACCGTCGAGTGGGCAAGGATCAAGGCCATCTACACCACGCCATCGAAACTTTAGACCTAAATCAGCCAGACCTACACGAGCTAGTGGATACCCAATGGCATCAGAATCAGACGTCCCAGAAGATTTAGATTTCTTTGAAGACGCAGATGCAATTCAAGATGAGATACCTCTTGATTGGGATGTTTCAAACCCCAATTTGGAAGCGTCGGCACTCGAAATTGACGATGATGAAGAGATTGACATTGAGAGTGACGGCGCTTTCGGTAGTGGGGACTACGATGACGATGTCGAAGGACCTGCTGTAACAATGGATAAGGTACCCCCTCCGCCTATTGAGCCTCCCGCAGTAGCTCCTGGAGGCAGACCGATAACGCCGTTACGACTACCGCTTCAACCAACCATTAAGTCGTTAATGGATCCCATGTTTGGATCATCGGCACAACTCAGGTTCAAGTCTGTAGACAAGCTGGGCGCTGTTCCTGGATCGGCCGTTGGGTCGACCGTTGGATCGGCTGTTGGGTCCCATGATTCTCTGCCGAAAACTACTGCTGCTAAATCTCGGTCTGCATCCAAAGAACAATTAGGTAGTGCCGAAAAATCCAAGCCGGTCGAACAACACGTTGAAACCGCACCAGCAGCCGTCGAAACTCATGCAACAAAAACCATGAGTCGTGCAGCACTCAGTAAAAGTGATACTTCCGTTACCAAGTCTGACAAGCAGGTCTCATTTAGTGTCGCTGAAAGTGAGAAACACGTTCTGGAACACCTCACTCAGGAAGTTAAAGCCAGTTTGGGCGCTTTGGAGAGTCCTTACGCCAAGACTGAACTACAAGCTTCAGTAAAGACCGACCGTCCATCATCGGCTGGTCGCAAGAGTCAAGAAAAGTTGAACAAGTCGCAAGGTGAAATTGCTGCTAAAGAACGACAACCATCCGAGCCAGTAGCAGCTGAACAAAGTTTACGCCATTCAGTAGCTTCAAATAAGAGTAGCTCGTCTGTAAACCGTGCTGAACGTGAACGACGGGTATCATTCAGTCAGACTGAAACTGAAAGGAGGGTATCATTTAGTGAGGCTCATGCTGAACCACTACAGGAACAACACCACACCGTTTTGGATTCAGTCACTAAAGAAGTCAAGGCTAGTGCGAGTGCCATTACCAAAGCAGAACGACAAGCCTCTGTTAAAGGAGATCGTCAATCGTCAGCTGGCAAGAGCCAAAACAAACTAAACAAGTCGAATGCTGAGATTGCCATGGAGGAGCGACAACATTCGGAGCCAGTGGCAGTTGAAAGGACTGCTTCCTCGAACAAGAGTAACGCTTCCATAAACCATGCTGAACGGGAGAAACAAGTATCACTCAGCAAAGCTGAAAGTGAGAAGAAGGTCGCATTCAGTGCAACAAATGCAGTTCCAGCTGTACTGCATTCAGGCGAAAAGGAAGTCAGAGCCAGTTTGTCTGCTTTTGGAGGTGTCAGTGAAGGTCAGCCTTCAGTCAAGAACGAACGACAAGCATCAACCAAATCCGAAGTCGAATCACCCAAACTCCCAGACCATCCACGCTCTGTACAAGCTAGTATGACTGCCGTTGGCGGTAACCACCACACAGCAACATCTCCCGAACCACAATCACCAGACACCGTCACATCCCACGAATCTGGATACGATACCAGCAACGACATGATTGAATCTGTCGCAACACAGCCAAGTTTGGCACATACAGCATCAATGGGCTCACTACGTCTCCGAAACATGTCCCAAGTCTCGTTAACGCATCAAAATAGTCGACCTGCCAGTATCAAATCCATGAAATCAATCAAGACGTCTACTGAAGCCAATTCAAAGGCTTCGTTCTTGGATCAGACACCAAGTAATGCTTCGTTGAATGATACGGATGATGATGGTGGCGTTCGGGATGCTGCACCTGAACATCATACGTATGAGTCAGAACATGAGCATGAACAGCATGGGCATGAACAGCATGCTGTTGTTGCTCAGAAGGATGGATTCAGGACTCCATCTGTGACGTTATCGAAACCTGGACTGGTTGAGTCTAGCGAGATAGTATCTGCTCGTCAAATGAGTAGCAACAAGACAAAGCAAAATGAACTGTCGGACTCAAGAGCTGCGTCAGTTAACGCGCTAATGAATATTGGATTTTCAAGGTGAGTATTGTTGTAGTCCACACAATCAAGTTTCTACTTGTTGACCTATTTTTACCACACATTGTTTAGGGACCAACTAGCATCAAACTCAAACCTGAAACGTGTTGGCTCACAAAGGAATCCATTGTCAGCTTCAGTGGCATCAGTAGCCAGTACTTTTAGAAGGCGTAAAAGTTAAAAAGAAGAAATTGCACAGTACCAGTACCACAGTGCGTGTCTCTACGTGTAATATAAATGAATATATAAAGTTTATGAGTTTACGAGAATTTATACGCGTTTTTGCAATGTTGTTTGTTTTTGGGTGGTCAACCATCGTCTCAACGATGCGAAGCTTGGTGCTGCGTCATTCTACATCAACCTACAACTTGGACAGGCTATTGTGATTAAAAGCGGAGACTGATACTAGTTAGAGTAAAGACTACATGGTTTCCTTCTACATGTAAGTGTTGTCATTTGACAGATATCATTTGCGTACTTGACATCAAACTCCAAAGCTAACGCAAAAATCATCAAAATATAGGCCCTCATGTCAACCTCCAAGGAATTAAAGCAATGGCAACTCTTTGCCAAATGGCTGCGAGAATGTCCCAATCAGCCTTACGATCCTCCGTATATCCCAAATCCATCATCGGGCTCCGAGTATGAGACTGAATCAAGTTCCGAAGAAGAGGAACCAGTACATGTCAATGTTGAAGAGCCAAAGAGTGTTGATGCCGATAAGCGACCTGGAATGCACGTATCATGTTATGCGATTTATGTTTTTTTTTTGCTGCAGTTTATGCTGCTTCGCTCTCACCAAACATCTTAATCCTAACTATTCCCCACCGAACCTTGAATAGATACATCAGCAATCTCCCAATGATAACAGGCCGCCACGATCTCGAAAATGAATTCTCGAAATTCGGCAAAATCAAGGCAATCAATCTCATCATTGACGTGGAAGGTCAACGATCAGCATGTTATCTAGAATACAATTCGGCCGTGTCAGTGAAATCAGCTATTGCTGCTAAGGATGGGACTATGATTGGTGGATTGTGTATCAGTGTGGTCAAAAAATCGACACCTGATTTTATTCCATCGTCGTTCTCGGGTGGTGAAGCATCAACGCCTGCTAGTGCAAGTTCAAAGAGCAAGGCAGGTGCGAGTGCTCCGTATACTCCACCACCATCTGTAGAACGTGAGAAGGCATCAGCGGGTGCATCCAAGTCTACAGGTAGCAAAAATACTCTACGAGTATTTATTCCTTGATTACATTTTTGCTTGACTTACTCTCTCCATTTTCTCCACTTTCCATCTTCTAGGCGACTCTGGAGCACGAGACGAAAAAACAACACCACCACGCTCATCAACAAAAGCACCATTACCAAAACGTACTACCCCAGCACCACCTGAACCATCATCATCCTCATCGTCAAGACCACAACCAGAACGCCAACAACCCCGTATCGACACATCCAAAATATCAGCCCGCTTTTACGCATCCCTCGACGGCTTTTATGGACGAGCTCGAATCACACATGGATCCACACGCACATCTCAAAATCGGAAACGATGATAATTACGTGTGTATCTTTGAAGCTGGTGATATCGCGCTACTGAAAATCAATGCGTTGAATGATACTGGTGTAATGGTGTCGCTCAAGTCTGAATTGAAGAGGCACGAGGGGATGATGCCTAATGAGGTGTCGTTGCTGATAGTGTTGAAGACTTTTGTGTCTACAAAAGCAAGGGATCTTATGAATGTCCGTGACTGTGCCTGTCCATGTATTAGTGCTGTATGTCATGATGAAAATGCTATGCATATTATAAGGGTTTATAATATCGTCAAGCACTCAAAGAAGCATGTTGAGAGGTTGAGGTTGAAGCCTTCTGTGGCTCGCAAACGTCTGCTGGGTAACAGGAATGCTCAACCATTTGAACGATTCTTTTGAATGCAAATGCTCAGTAAAAATGTAGTCATGGTGTCAAGAGTTCTACATTATGTAGATATGTGCCTGAATTATATATATGCATGTGCCTCTACAAGTGTTGTAAAAGTAGCAGTATATATAAAGATACCAATCAAACTCAACCACTCTGATTCTGCCTTTTTTCATCAAACACCTTAACCCTCTCTCTCGCAGCACTAACCAGCTCTGTCTTCCTCTCCTCAAACGCGGCCTCCTGTGCCTTGATACTATCCTCATCCTCCCTATACGCCTGCTTCCATGCTTTATCACGGCTTGAACGTCCATCCTTTAATCGTTCCTTCTTGCTCTTCTTGAGCGGTACGTCCTTCCCTGATGGTTGTGGTGCACGTTCATCCGATTCAGAATCACTGGATGAGTCGTCATCGTCTGACGCTGTTATGGTATCGACTCGAGCTGTGCGGTCCCAGAGCAGCGCGCCGGATGGTGATTTGAAGTAGCGGATGCGGTGGTAGGGGACTTCGTCGAGGTCAAAGTCGGTCATGCGGGTTTCTTGGATGCCGAGGAATCTCTAATGGGTGATTTGCGTTAGTTAGAATTGGCTCATATAGTTCAACAACAGGTGTAGAGCTTGACAGACTCAAAGGTTGAGGTTGAGGTTGAAGACAAACGCTTGACTTGATGTCCTCACACAATGTTGTCAAACCATCACTCACATCCTCATACCCAACAATAGCAACACCATTCAGCCTTTCAATAAGCTGCAGATCGAATCGTAGCCTGGCGAATATCTTGTGGGCTGGTTTAAGATGCTTCCTTGGAGGGTTTAATGTGGTTTCGGTGGTGGCAGATGCCATGATTCCTTCTTATAGCTTAAAAGTCCAGGTCGTTTATATGAATTGAGGTGTACAATGTTTCTACCTCCAAGTTCCGATTTATAGTGGTGCGATGGCGCTTCAGTCGCTTAACACGAGAAAATCAAGTTCAGTTTCCGTTTAACGAGCTGCCGCAAACTAGTCTATGTGATGACGAGGGTAGAGGTTTAGGATGATGATTCGTATGATGAATATCTTGATGCAATTGGAGCGTTTGAAAACTTACGTGGGTTTGGTTTCTTTGCGCTGCGCTCAGACGCTCAATGATCAAACCAGATATAGCTTCCATGGATATATCTTCAGAGCTCGTCTGAGCTCTCTATATTTTCAAATTGCTAAACTTCCAATCGTCAAGTTGAACTTCAATACTTCAATGACTCAAGACCTGATCAAGCAAGATGGGAGAGACGAATGCAAAGAGTATCAAGAAAAGTATTTTTCTCGATATTTTACATTTATGACGCGTTATGACACGTTTCTGTAGCCTTTGAACCTTGAACTATGATGCATTTGCTCGCAAGCGACCGACAGTCTAGTACTCTACGCGGCGTCAAACACCTATAGCAGCTCATGCATGATGCATGGTGTCACTTTATTTGCAGTGTATCTGAAGTAAATTTGACGAAATCTACATCTAATTAAATATGCTGCCAAACTACAATGAAGTTATCGACAATCAACAGTGTGCAAAACTAGACTACTTAAATATAGTAAAAGAACCCAAGATATCATCAGAGCCAAGGTAGCTTCCCAGTGAACAGACTCGTCTTGTCATCGGGGCAGTAGGCAAGCAAATGACGTATCTCTGGGCATGATTTCTCATATGGAGGGTATCTATTGAAGGGATTTCTACCAATTTTCTTGTCCAACAGACTCCCTTGATGACATCCATAAGGGTCCTTTTCAAACGGTCTCACTGCATGTACAAGTTCTGACTCTTCTAACAAAGTTCCAGGAGGATCAAATCCCTTGTAGTCAAACTGGCTCATTGGGAATTGAATTGCACGGCGGTGAAGTGATTCGAAGCGCCTCCTTTTGAATTCAAAGCCAACCACGGTAATCCGACGAGGATAGCGACCAGTAAACTCACGGAAGCGACAGATACTAGTACAATGTGCAGGTTGGTGAGGTTGGTTACTTGGAGTGTACAGCACGGAAGGTAGAGTATACCTAAAGAGCAGATTTTCAAACGAATCTTTGGCGAATTCCTCGGTCGTGACTCGATTCGGCAAGTCCGGAAGGGTTTCGTTGAATCCAAACCACAACATGGAGTCTGCCACCAACTTTAACAATCATACAGGTTACCTTTACAGCTCAATGAGTTTAGATACGTGTTATGAAGGCCTCACCCAGTACGACGAGGCTTCACTGCGATGACCAGCAGGCAGCCTGGTTTGACCACCAGAAAAGACCAGTATTGTACCCTCTTCTCTCAACATCTGAATCCCCTGTCTTATATGAGATAGATAGACATCAACTTGACCCTTTTGGTGTTGTTCCAAATACCAGTTCTAGAACGTCAAAAAGGGTTGTAGGTTTGAGAGACGGAGAGAATCAGCGTCAAGCTCGACTCACGTTCTCATTCGCCGAGTCCTAAGAAAGCACCAGTTATAAATTTCATACTAAAATCTACCGAAGGGAAGTGGTGAACTCACTGATAAGTTTGATCCGATATAAACAGCATGGCAAGGCACCATTACAAGATGATCAAGCGATGCAACATCAGCGCATGGACCAGCCTTGCACGTTTTCAGAATCTTGGCTGGACCATCAATTATCAGAGAGTGCGAGGACTTGATATCAGGCAGCGAACTGTCGGAATTCCAATTCGATAGGAGCCAAATGTTGGTGATGAGTGACAGGACCAGTCCAATGCCAAGAAGGTTGCGAGGAGTCCATCGTTGCTGCATGACGTTGGAGCCGTTACTAGGCGTTACGGTCATCCAACGTACTTGGTATTCCCTACAAGACGATCTGCGCTGGAAAATGTCAGTTCTATTCACAGATTGTTGCAATAAGAAAGGAAGAATAAACGAGGATGCCGAGTTTTTTTATTGGCAACGTACATTTTCAAGACGCGTCTAGCTCCCTGTACATCAGCTTCTAGTCTTGACCAATATTTTGCTCGTCACTCGCATTTCCACTACCCGACAGCACTGGATCGCATTCAGCCAGGCATTCAGCTCCTAGTCGCATCAAGTCATCACTGGTCGCAAATGCTGTGTCGTAGAGCGTTATCTGGAGCCTATCGGCGAGTGGCTGGTCTGAAAAGCAACATTGTAACTCGCAAACCTGTCTTGACTCGAAACTATAATGAAATTGGCGCCGTCAAATATGGCCGATATCAAGATCCTTCCGAAAAGGTATTTACCTGCTCTCCTGCTTTCCTTACTCTGTTTACAGGCGGGATGAATGTCGCAACATTAGCTGGATTTCAAAATCCACTTTGTATTTGCATTCTGAATGCACCGTCAACTCTTTATTTCAGTCCACGCAAACCCTGATGTAATTTCTCTTTTTAACTAGGAAACAATTGTAAAACTACTCTACAACATTGGCTCTAGGAAGGAGGTCGAACAGTACCTCACACACTTCTCCTCGGTCGAGTCACACCAATTTGCCGTCATCAAGGTCGGAGGTGCCGTGCTGACTGACGATTTGGATACGCTGGCCTCGTCCCTGACCTTTTTAAATCGTGTTGGTCTCTATCCAATCGTTGTACACGGTGCTGGACCACAGCTTAATGGTCTCCTAGAAGCCGCCAAAATCGAACCACAATACTCGGATGGTATTCGCATTACCGATGAAAAGACTCTAGAAATCGCCAGACAGGTCTTTCAGGAAGAAAATCTAAAACTTGTAGAGGCCCTGGAAAAGTTGGGCACTCGAGCTCGTCCCATCAATGGTGGTGTCTTTACAGCTGAATATCTCGACAAGGCCAAATATGGATTGGTCGGCAAGATTGTGCACGTCAATAAGGAAATCGTAGAGTCGTCCATTAGAGCTGGTGCATTACCCATCTTGACGAGTTTGGCTGAAACTCCTTCTGGACAGATACTCAATGTCAATGCCGATATAGCTGCTGGAGAGCTGGCTCGAGTGCTGGAACCGCTAAAAATAGTTTATATAAATGAAAAAGGAGGTCTCTTCAATGGAACAAGTGGGAAAAAGATTGATGTCATCAACCTGGATGAAGAATACGATGATTTAATGAAGGAACCATGGGTTAAATATGGCACAAAGCTTAAAATTCGTGAGATACACGACCTGTTGCAACATCTTCCACGCTCATCATCAGTCAGTATCATCTCTCCAGAACATCTGCATAAAGAGCTATTTACCCATTCTGGAGCTGGTACTCTCATCAGACGAGGACATCGTATCTTTAGACAGGACGACGTGAACAAGCTTGATGTAGATCGAATCAGACACTTATTGAACGAAAACGACCCAGAAATCACGTCAGGAACCAGTAGTGTTGCCAAATACTTGAAATCCATGTCAGAAAAACCCGTAACCATATATGCAGATGCCGCTTATGATATATTTGCTGTCGTTGCTCATGCAGATGGAGCCAAGGCCAAGATACCCTTCTTAGAAAAGTTTGTTGCCACGAAAACCGGTGTCTTGAATAATGTATCCGATAATGTATGGCAAATGATCAAAAAGACGTTTCCGTCACTGGTATGGGTTACGCCCAAGGGAGACGAAAACAAGGTCTGGTATTTCGAACGAGCCGATGGCTCTTATAACATAGGTGACTGGTCTTTGTTTTGGTATGGAGTCCAAAACTTGGATGACTTGGCAGAGTATGTTAGTAAATACTCAAAGCTGCCTAGTGCGAAATCTGCTGCACCAAGTAGCACTGCTTCGTCAGGAGTTGGTAGTGGTCAGACTCGCAAGTACTCTACTCTTGCTACCAATATGATCCAGAAACGTAGCATGTCATCTACCGCCTCACGTAGTAAGCAGTTTAGCATTGGATTGATTGGCGCACGAGGTTACACTGGCCAAGAATTTATGAAACTTGTCGACAACCACCCACAATTATCACTTGCCTATGTTTCCTCTCGAGAGTTGCAAGGCAAACCGGTAGAATTCTATAAAAAGTCATCTATAAAGTACTCTAGTTTATCTCCAGCTGATTTGCCCAAATTATCGGATGTGGCATGTTGGGTTATGGCATTGCCAAATAATATCTGTCTGCCATTTGTAGACAGTCTCAACAAGGCCGATAGCAACGCACTTATTGTAGACATATCTGCAGATTTTAGATTCAACGACTCGTGGACATATGGTTTGCCAGAATTATATGGTGCTCGAAGCAAAGTACAGAAATCCAAAAGAGTATCCAACCCTGGTTGCTATGCGACAGGCTCGCAACTGGCAATCGCACCACTAGTACCGTATCTATCGTCCTCTCCCACCGTCTTTGGCGTATCGGGCTACTCTGGTGCTGGGACCACACCGTCTCCCAAGAACGACATCAACAATCTAAATAATAATCTTATACCCTATGCATTGACAGATCATTTGCACGAAAAGGAAATATCCCGTCACCTGAATTATCCTATTGGATTCATCCCACATGTGGGACAATGGTTTCAAGGCATCTCCTTGACAGTGTCGATCCCGCTCAACAAGAGCATGACCGCCAAGGAAGTACAGGCATTGTATGCCGATCATTATAAGGGAGAACGACTAGTTAAAGTGCTGGAGGAAGGAGAGATACCCGAAGTCAAGTACATATCTGGCAAGCATCATGTTGAAGTTGGTGCCTTCAAAGTCCACTCGAGTGGGAAGAGGGTCGTTGTCGTGGCTACGATTGATAATCTTTTGAAGGGTGCTGCAACGCAAGCCATGCAGGTACGTGCAAAGATCTACTCTACGACTTTTGGCGCTTTTTAATCTGGTTAAATTTTTAGAACATCAACTTGGCACTTGGTCTCGACGAGTACACTTCAATACCACTATAATTTTGTTAAAGCGAGCTATTAAAGTTACAAATAGAATTATAAAACGCTTCTGGCTAGAACTGTGAATGCCGAGCCTGCTGTGAAAGTTGAAACAGGAAATTGTCAGCACTATTTCAATGGACCATACATTGTACATTGCTAACATTTTGCATGCTTCAAACCATTTTCATTTACGCTTTTATGCGTTTGCTCGAACGTCGTTAGAACTACATGCGCGTCAACGCTTCCAAAAACCCAACTTTGCCAACTTCGCTTCCCAGCAATGTCCAAGAAGCAGAAAGCCAGGGAACGCAAAGGTTCCAAAACACAGTCATTTCAACCTCATTCTCACTACCACCACCATCACTTTGAAGAAGAACAAGACGAAACAACCCATCATTATAAAAATCACGAGAAACCACACAAACAGACAATAGAAGATGAACTGATTTCCTTCTTGTTCTCGATACTAGTACAGACGTTTGCAGTGCTAGTATTCGCCTTCTTTTATGGACTACGAGTCTTCACAAACATTGGAAACATGAATGCAAAGGAGCTGAATGCCATTAGGAGGTTTGATAAGGCTCTTGCGGTGTTTGTTGGTATGGATTATTTGATTTATTGAAGGCTGGACTTTTGAAGCTAAGATCGCTTATTGGTTGTAATAGCAAAGATCATGAATCCAAAGGGGGGAATCAATTCATTCTTGGGGATCTATGAGGCATTTTGTGCTTCAAATGTACATGCAATGTAAGGAATGAATTTATTTAATTGATTTGCCTATTCTCTGGTTTCCATTTGATTATCTGTCATCTCGTCAAAAACCATGTCAGAACTTTGACACGTTCTTCCACTCCAACATAGACGCGGAAGGTCTGGCTGGATGTTTACTGCCTTCCATGTATATCTCAGCTACACGACATACACGGCAGCATATAAATCCATGACGACTCCATGCACTTTCACAACACCGTATACCATAACGCCATGTCCTCCAACTCTAAGCAGATTCCGAGAACTATCGCTAATCTGGCAATGCATATTCTATACCGCCACGCTCCTCACCGAGTATACCAGCATGTCGTGGCACAAACGGATACACATATACGGATCGTATCTCGTGAATGGATTTATATGGTCGTGTATCATATACACGTCGAATAGGTCCCTCCACTCTGTAGTATGGGACCTGCTGTTTTTTTGTGTGTACATGTATGCACATCGCAACCAGCTCTCTATCTGGATTTGGGAAGAGGATTTGAGATACGTGTTGCTGGATTGGGGGCATGTGTCGGTGTCGGAACAGGCCAAGACGCCATCGTCAGGATCGTATTGTAGCAGGTACACGTACCATGTCTGGTGGTGGTTTACATACAGGCTATGTTTGGGGTCCGTTGGAATGTGGAGTTGGAGTATATACACATATATGAATCCGGCGCTGCTTGATTCATTCAATGATGTGCGGTGTGGGAGTGTTTGGAATGTATTGGGTAGTGTAGGCTTAGGAACAGTGTGTTTCGGATGCCTTACTGCATGGTATTCCTTCTTCAACCATCAGGTCGTTGGAGTCATAAATACTGAACCAGGGAAGGAGAGTGCTGGCAGGTGGTTTCGGCCTTGGATGGAGTGTGTGGTTATATTCCACTACAAGGGGGAATGTAACATTACCTTTGTGCATTGAGGAGGGGGGATCCATTTAGACTATTCAAAAGCGGGGTGAAAATACATCTCCAATATCCTCAAAATTGGTCAGAATCGGAGGATATTTTCATTGCTTTCTGCCTGCTTTCACCGTAAAAGGGGGCGTTTTTCGCGTTCTCCGCACCAAGCTCCAAAAAAACGTCGAAAGTGACGCACAAACGATCAAGCTGCTGAAGTTGAAGCGCTACTGATGTGGACGTGAATTGTGTGGAAGTCACCATCATTTGCAAGCTACGGAAAGATCTCATAACTCATGAAGAATTCAGGGAGGATTTTGCAGGTCTACTGGGTCATAAATTATATGTATATACGGATGCAGATTTCAAAACACCACTTGAAGCCGACACACAATTGAATGCCATTACAACATTCGCCAATGTTCCACTGAGAGTGGCGAGACCGCGAGGAGGTCGAATGGCTCCAGGATTGCAGCCTTCCACACCAGGTACTTGAACATACTCATTTGCTTTAGTAGTTCAATTGCTCTCTTGTGGGACAAATTGCACCAATCTCATCGTCCATTCTATCTAGACTGGACGCAATTGTCGAAAGATCTTTTCCTGGCTGTAAATTCATCTACTGGTGATGTTCCTGCTCATATCATTGATCAACATCTTCAAAGCAAGCTTTCTGCTCCGCTACCACTACTTGTCCCAATCTCTCGCCTCTTGCCACCAGATGATTTGGATCTACAGAAATCCAATTTGTCCAAATTCCTCCAGACTCTCCTGCTGTTTGAGAGCAGTAGCAAGTGTCGTATTGCAAGTCGCGGAAGGGAAGCCAGTACGTCGTGGCGAGAGAACAGGTATCCCCCTTCGTCGCATACTAGTAGCAAGTGTCGTATTGCAAGTCGCGGAAAGGAAGCCAGTAGGTCGTGGCGAGAGAACAGGTATGCCCCTTCGTCGCATACTGATTTGTCACCACTCAATTCATTTTAAAAGGGATCTCACTATGGGATTCCATTGTAAATATATCCCTTTGCCTTTTTAGACAAATTGTCAATATGTCTGTTGACATTGCTGGGCAACAGTGGAATGTCTTATTCGTATGAGTGCAACATGTGGATGTTGATGCAGACGATGTCTACAATGAGTTTCATCCAAATGGATGGAGAAGCAAGGGGAATTGTCAAAGAGATGATTGATTTGGTGGAGTTGAATCCCTATAACTCGAGTCTTTTTGAGAAAACCATCACATCTAGTATCCCAGCTAGTATCTTGGGTCGGGATATCTTTACGAAGTCTAGTACTTCAGGAGTTGAGTGTGAAAATAATGTAAAGTTGTATTATTTGCCTTGAAGTCGAACTACATTGTTTAAATTGGTCAAATGATTCATCTTGTCAGGATGGTCGTTGCGCAGCGTCACCCATGCAGTCCTGGCATGCAATAATATCTCAAAACATTTCCGTAGGCCGCAATGGTATCCACCATTTCTGTATGAGAAAAGTCACTTTGTCTTGATGCATTGATACATAAGCAAAGCGTATCGTCCATTTGGATTCAAACCGCATTTTGATAAGCCTCAGAGTAGGAACGTATCCAACATGGTAATCAGTCACTTCAGAAATCCAGCACCTAATTTGACACAAGTAAGAAAGCAGATATGTCGGCACCAGGACTCGATATGGCGTTGGATGAGATAATTACAGACGTAAGCAACCTTGCAAGATGTTAAAAGACTAGTTATTACATGTGGCGCTCTGTCAGCAAAGTCATCCACAATCCATTTAAAGACAACAAGCTGAGGAGGAGGGGAAGGAACGAGCTATAACAATTGGGCGGCCTCCTTTACATATTATGGAAACGGGCCATCCATACATTACTATTCGAGTATAGTTTATTTGATACGGGCAAGACATCAAACTCGAGAAGCTTTGAATATTGGGAATTAGCCAAGAGGGGAGAGAGAGTCTATGAGGATGATGAGGATGATTGAGAGATTAATATGATATCATATATATTGTCACTTGAGCCATCTTGGAAACAGGGGGCCGCCCAATCCACTCCTTCTCCTCCTGCTCTATAACACGACAAGGGTTGATACGACTGAATGATGCTGTATGTTTTGAGGGCCATCCATCAGTCAAAACCCCCTCTCGATATTGTCTTTTTTAATTGGTATCCAATGACAACAAACGATGAGAAACGCCTCCTTGTAACAGTCAGCAAAATAACCCCAACACACAAACACAATGTTGAGAAAACAAGAAATCTAATTTATATATACCAAACCCACAAAACTAGAAGAGAAAGACGCCCAGACGACGAGGTGGCAATCGAGCATCTGGTGGTGCTCCTAGAACCTTCAGAAACCGGGCTACTCCCTACTCTCGTCCTCAATCTACAGTCCAAGTCAACCATGTCGCTACTACTCGTCCCGTCCCCAAAGGTATATTGGTCAACAATCTGGACTTTGCGGTGACGCAGGATGAGGTTGCTGCTGTCTTCTCTCAAGTTGGTATGTCGTGATGGTGTTGAATGGCTTCTTGTTGGTAGACGTTATTGTCGACAATTATCTAATGCGACATGTTTGATTGATTAGGCCAAGTACGATCTGCTCAACTCAACTATGATGCCAATGGTCGATCAAAAGGCTCAGCTACAGTTATCTTCCACAGGTATGTTTGGTTGTTGAATCTTTGAGAGCTAGGAACTTATTTTGAAATCCTTTTTTTTGCTATAGGCCGACTGACGCATATGATGCTCTGGAACGATTCAATAATGTCCTATTTGTAAGCATCTCAGGCCTCCGCAGCATTGGTCTTCAAACTCAAAACTGGATTTAAAAAACGCAAAAGCATACTTCAATTCGGCCTGAGATCTCACATGATATTCCTCCCCCCTCCCTCTCTCAAAAAACTCCAACATATCACCATTTGGGAAAAAAATCAAACTACCAACCTTGATTTTCTTTTTCTAAATCTTATACGTGGATTCTTTTTTTGTTGTGGGGGGAACTATTATTTTTTTAATCTGTTGCAGGACAATCGCCCAATGAAACTTGAAATCTTGATTGCTCCTGAAGCACTTGGATCACTGTCTGTACCTGTCACTACCACAACAACTGCAAGCAATGGCAATGGAGGCTATGACAATTATGGAGGTGGATACAGGCGTGGCGGTGGAGGACGAGGATACAACAGTCGAGGTGGTTCACAGTCACGAGGTGGTCGTCGAGGACGTGGAGGGTATGCTCGTGGAGGAGCGTCTGGTGGTGGCGGAGGTGCATCGACTGAAAAGAGCAGCAAAACTCAGGATGAATTGGATGCTGAAATGGATGCATATCTCGCTGCTGGCGACTCGGTACGTTGTGGCCATAT